TTTGGGAAATTCCATATAGGCTTGATCGCGGCGGACGCTGCGGCTTTTCGGACTGGTTGGTTTTGGCACGGTACAGCCCGTTCTGAACCATTTTAGAAAGCTAGGAGGCGTTCATACAGACCCAGCGCCTCAGAAACTTTGCTATTGATCCGTCCCTATCTGGTCAGCTCCATGCATTCTATTATACTTCCATCTAAAATCGTAGCGGCATGACTGCAGTTCGGCTTATGACTCGCGAGACCAGCCGATGTGCAAGTCGGTATTTTTATCGTGTCATATAAGTCTGGTACGAGTTTATCGCCTCGGAGAGAGGGCTTAATTTGGCTGGGCGGTAGCTGACCCTGGACAGCGCGCGTGGTAAGCGTGCCACACCAACTCGTCTGGTACAAAAATGCCGTAGTGAACCTTACAACAGCCCGTTCTGCAAGGTAATTCAACTCCATAGTGCTATCTGAACAGAGTCACACTCGTCAACGTCGAGGAGGTGTCGAGAAGATGTGATTACTGGAGCACATCGCTTTCAAAATCCTTGGAAAAATCTACTGCTCACAAAAGGGAGCTGATAATTATTTGGCTATTGCAGATTGACGAAAGCACACCGTACTCTCCAGGAGTACCAACCCGAGCATTTGAGCTGGGCAGCGCACCTTTTCAAGGCATGTTCGAGGTAGGTCTTGATATTTATGTTGAAACTTCTACTGTTTGAGTACCCTTTAACCTAGAAGCTCAGATTCTTCTGTTCGCAGGTCCCCGGACTGTCAACCTTTCATCACGATATAATGCCGTACTATCTTTGTTGTAAGTTCGCTGACTTCCGCTGTCAACTGTTCTATTGGAGACGGCCATCCAGTGCTTGTCAAGCGTACGAACCTGCTGTCAGTGGTACGGTCATCAGTGTACAGTACTTTTCAATTACTAGATGTAGAAAAAAGGGCTTCTTCTGTAATTGTTTAGGCTCAATCCTCGGTGCGGGAATCGTGTCGACATTGAATAATCGGAATTTCATATTCAACGAACCGGGCATCTTCACCCTGTTGCACTCTCACAGAACAAGTTCTACGCCAGAAGTACAGATTCAAGTACGAATGGAGCGATTTCCAGATCGAAGCGTTGACTTTGGTGATTAGAAATAGCAGTCTTGTTCATTGAACCACTGAGTAAAATAGCTGTCCTCATTGGTGGTATGGGCAGAGACAGTTAACCACTGTGCTTTCCTCACTGGTACTCCCTCACCTTTTAAGTGAGGGCTGGAGTCACAATATTCGATTGTCTCCGCCCCTAGCGATCAATGTAGACTGGTTGCATCAGTGGACGTCATCTGCTTACCTTCAGGTGCTCTAAACATCGCTCAACGAGATCTCGTTCAGCCAACGAATGCTACCGTCATCACTGGAGTTGTGCTTTCTTCGGAGTCAGCCGACAGGTTTGTAGTGTGCAGTCTGAGAAAGAACTTGGATCATGCAGTGTTTTATGAATTCCGGTAACATTCATCAGATTTGTATACAACTTTCGAGAACCCTCCCCCTCTCTTACTTGTTTCTTTACAATTTTCGTGCAACCAAGTTACCCCAAAATTCTCTACATCGTGCGTAAATGCTCGGATAAAGTCCATGGAAAGGGAAGCCCCTGTTGAGAATTGTAGGAAAGATCAGCCTTGAAGACAGTTTCCGCGAT